TCGNTCNCTCGCACTAGCTGNCTCCACACGACATAGGCAGTCGCACACAACTGCCGAACTTACTTGATAGTATGTTTCTGCATTTTGTGCGGAACTGGCGGATCGCGGGCAGTGTCGAGATCTCCATCACTATTCATAGAGTAGCATCCCCACACACACGCACACATGCACACACACGCACACACACACACACGCACACACACACACACATACTCTTACACACAACTACACACACACGCGCGAGAGAGAGCACATTCTCACCCACATTTGAACACCTACATACATACAAACATACATACATACAATCGCGCACAAATACAAGCCACTGAACACCGCAACAATAACCATCGGCCGGCATTGCAGCTTCTATCTGTGTTTGCTGACCTTATCTTTGCAGTTTGCTGCCTTTGTGCTTTTGCTGTCGCTGTTGCTGTTGCTGCTTGCCGGCACAACAGGAGAAAAACACCGCGCCACGAAACACCCACAGCAAGAAACTTTGCTCCGAACGTATGTACGACATCACTAAATCACGAACGGACACAAAGTGGCACCCACGCAGTGAACATACGGGGAAAGACCTTCATGCCATACTCCCTACACGCCGTACCTTGCCAAGGTACAACAATTTCATACCGAAATCCCCCTCCGTCACCAACTCGTCTATCCATGTGCAACACGTCTTCTCCCATAGAATCCAAGAACCTGCCCAGCACACCCACCTGGCGATTGTGACGTCAGCTCGGCCGCTAGTGGAGGATGATGACGAAGGCAGTGCGCGGCAGCGGCTGATGCACGCGAGGGGCCCTTGGGGTTCCAGTTCTACACACTCGCTGGTGCCAGGTCCCCTCGATCACACCTGCAAAAGGAGCAAGACAGGTGCCTTACTATGAAAGTCGAAATGAGCAGTCGTCTCTGTCGCGAGGAAGGTCAAGGACATCGGACGAAGTGGTCATGTCTCGCCTAACGACGTGTACTTTTCTGCCAAACTGTCTAGCTTTCAGCCTTCGTAGCCTCCTTACACAGCGTAAGCATAATTGTCGGGATTACGCTCAAACGCCGCATACGCCCATATTCTTGCAGCAGAGCGTTGCACAAACGTCGAAAGCCCGTCGACAAAGCCACCTTGATGCTTCAAATATCCATACATGAACACGAGAGACAAGCAGCTCACCTCAAAAAAATTGAGTCGCACGTTGCCCTCAGCAGACGAGTTAGGCATGTCGATGTCCGTGAAGCGGCGACGCTGTGCCTGGAGCAACGTCAGCAGGGGCTAAACAAATAAATGATTGAGCTAGCCGCGTAATAAAGTAGAGCAATGGAACTGAAGTGCGGCGGCTACAGCGTGAAGGTTTTGCCAATGAACAGTACCTTGCAAACGTTTGCAGGGTCCAAAGCAGCTTCTCGGAATTCCACGCAGCTGTTCATATGTTCTAACTCATTTGCTGGTGATATGTAGGAAGCTAGCAGCTTTTACGAACGCAACAGAGGTGGACAGCCCAAATACGTTGTGTAAAGCCACCGATTATATATCGGACGTTGTGCACATTTGCTAAAGAGCTGGAAGTGCTATGGGAGGTGCCTTTTGTCAGAGGCCAGCTAAGTTGTACGGCGTCCGGTAAAAGGTGCGCAACAGCTGCAAATCCAGGTGTGTTGGTAAGGTGCAGATCGGCGAACTCACTTTGTCGACAGTTAGCCTATTTATATTTATATTATAACTGCATGTCACTGCATTATCACGTCCACTCCCGTTCCTCTGCACCTGGTTACGTCCCCGGAAGCAATATCCCTCAGTGCAAGCCCTTGCAACAAACAACATATCAAGTCATCATGAAGGCCGCTGCTCCATTTTTGCTTATGCGCAAAGCGGGCGATTGACGTATTCTGCTCATGGCGGAAGTGCCACGAGCTATTGATACAGCGTTATGGATCTTGAAGCTCTTCTTGAGTGTCTAAGATGCTTTGAGTCATGTTTGCTCACAGGAGGAACTGCGGCCCGAACAAGGGCGCCACCGAACTACTATCATGGAGGGCTTCCTTTGACAGGGCTAAGCCCTATACACACCTTACGGGTTCAAATCTTCCGTAAAACGGAGGCCTTAGGTGCTCCGAGGAAAAAGCGACATACCGAAGGTCATCGTCAACCACCTACACAATGACAAGGATGCTGGCGCCCTCACCCTCGCTGTCACCAGCACCAGCACCGTCCTCGTCACCCAGCACTGCTGTGAGCAGCGAGATCGTGCCCCGCCCAGCTCCCTACCACCCTATATCCATCCCGTTCACCCTCGCCCGTTAGCCCAACCCGCCACATTTCCGTTCCCTATCACTTGTTGCCATCCATCCCTTGCTCCAACAAGTTCAAGATCAGCTCCATCACTCTGCTGTCATCCCAACACCAAGTGACAAGATTAATCAGCAGCTGCCTTCATGGTGCGACCGAGCTGCGTAGCCTGAGAGTGTCCA